CGTTTGAGTGTAAACAAACAGTAGGTTGTCCAACTTTAAAATACACCGAATACCCCTGCTATCGAAAACAAGAACAAAAGAGAAAATGTATTCAGTTAGACAATCTGTAGTTTAAATGTAAATGATGCTCTGAATTCCGTTGACAGTAGGTTAATAGTACTGTGAATGATATTATCTTTTCAATGGAAGTTAGATTTTACAAACGTTAAATAAAAAACATAGATAATCACTAATCTAGATAAACACTTTTTAATTGTGAAAGTACAGCGTTTTGCTCCTCACTTTAACGTTATACCATACATCGAATCTAACGAAAAGTATTGAGTATTTTCATGAAATTTTAAATTTATAGGCTACTGTCCTCCGGCTAAGTAGTGATTGGTTTTTATTCTTCAACAAATAGAATTCGGTTTATGTGTTTACTCGTGAGGTTACCACGCAAGACTCATGTCAATAGTACTTATTCTGAACGTCGAAAATCTGTTCCCTAAGAATCAAGTTCTGAAGTCAGGTTATCATTTAGTCGAAAAATTTAAAAGACTACTTGAAAAGTAATGTATTCTTACTTTAGAATATTTTTACCACGTTAAATAGTTTCATTTATCATTCATGTTTCTAACAATTTTTATTTCGTCTAATACAAGCAGACTACATTTCTAATTATTGACTACAGGCTGATAATCTACTATAAAAATATTTAACATTTATAAAGCAAACTATCTACAGTTAGAAAACGTCTTTTTTCTATTTCGAAGTGAAAGAAATTGTTAAATAAATAAAAATGTTATAAATATAAACAGTCTGCAATTTTTCACTATTATTGATCTCATCATGTGTATGTAAATTATAAATATATATCCCGAAGCAAACAAACGAATAAGACAAACTTAAACGTGTTCTTCTGTAAGAAATATGCATCTAGTTTTTTAAAGACCACTGATAATCCGGTGACAGAATGGAGATTTTAAAATATTTCACCGTTAGTGTTTCTGCCTTCCTTCTGGCATAAAATAAGTGATTATTTTAGTTGTGTTAATAATCAGCTGATCAAAATCATTGCGATCAACAACTGGAGTCAATCTTGTAGCATCTCACCATTCATTCATTGTACTTCAATGATTTGTCGTTTAAATTATTCGATAAATGTATCGACCATTTTTATATTTGTAATAATTCGATTACAGTATCGATTATTGTATATTTGATTGTGTGTGGATGCTTAGTCGCTTATTAAATGTCTAGCCTATTATTGCTTAACTATGTATACTTAGCACAAGAAGAGTAGGCTCACTCGCCTTCTCCAATTCGCTTCGCTTCGCTTGTACGCTTCCTATTCTCATGTCTGTCTGCGTCAATGAATGCATGAAATAAATTAATCCGCAACACCGTATTTGGCTTCTTAATATCTCCGTCTTACGAACAGGGTTTGCCTAGGTACGAAACACGGAAATGGATAGGAAGATTCATTTCGTTGCACACTCGATCATTCGTCCACACTGGAGTCCAGTCATAGGTTGTGTTTCTATACAGGTCGTTATACAGCTAATGCCCAAAAAATCAGAGATGAATCCTACTGGCTGAAATCATTCATTTTCGAAGATTCGAGGAAAAGATTGACTATTTCCTAAAATTGTTGCAATACTAGCCACCTTAATGCAAATGAAATATTTCAAGAGGTCTTGCCTCGGTTTCTCTAATTGCTTTCTGATAGCAGACGTTTATACACTAAAAAGATCACTTCAACTCAAGTACATGACACAGAAATGGGTCTAATCATGTTCATGACTGAAATGAATTCTCGTGTATGTGTGTGTAGTTAAATCCAAACGTTGTAGTGTGGTCGAGTAGTTTAATGTGTATCTGAGCATAGTGATATATTTAACAAGGTAACTATGGAACTTTGGATACACTAGCTGAGTAAGTTAAACAGTTAGATATTTTACACTGTACTTCATATTCTCATCTTTCTTAACAGTTAAATAAATCTTTTAGAATGATTTGGACTTTTTGATTATACAAAGCTTGCCTGATCCCTCTAATAATGCTATATCACCCCTAGTCCGATTGTTTTTTGATGTACAGACAAGCATTAATTCATGGCGTCGTTCTTCCCAACTATTTAATATTCAGTTCAATCTTTTTTGTGCTGATAGATGTTATGCTACGTCACTGATGATAATGCTACATTTTCATTGATAAACATCTATATTCACTTATCGAAGTCGAAAATTATAGAAGTTTAAATGAACAACAGAATAAAATCATTTGTTTATTGTTCTCTAATAAGGCTGTCAAGCAAAATATTATTATGATACTAATGGTATGTGGTCTTAATTCATTCATTATAAATTCTGTCCTAATAAAACTGTGGAAACATATCATACAAAGCCTCGTTATTATGTCGAAGGTCGTTGAAAGCTATTATTTTGTTAGATAGGTTATCACAACCCATGAATAGGCATTCAATCATAGTGAGAACCATTTTATTTTGAAAAGATCAATCACTAAAACATACAATTCACCTATCATATAGTTAGAGATTGTGAAGCAAAAGTTAGACAAAATAATCAGTCCTTATGTTTAGTTGTTGCAAAATTCGTTTCATCTCCACTAATATACATCATTGAACTGTTCTAAAAGTTTTACTCTGCCGAATTTTGAACATTACTCTTTACAGAAGTAGTGGTGACAGTCTACGTTATAATTAAGCTAAAAAAATATTCAAGACCACCCAGTAGATCAGTAAACACATTTTTCCTGATATATTTCTTGATATGAATTCAGTATTACACTCTATATCCGGTGGTTGCTTCTAAAGTATCATATTTCAATATGACCAGTATTCTTATTGTGTTTTCGGACGATGGGACAATCAATTTCATTGTTAGCTAACTTTATTGATGCAAGTTTATTGTAGCTAAAACTTAAGTCCATAACGAAACAACAGAATCGAACATTTTTAAAACAACGAAAATCTACTAAGTAAGGACAGCTGATCGAGTGAAAATTAGCAATTACATCTTTGAGTTTCACTACTTTTGGTGGTTTCTAACATGAAAATTTCAAAGAATAAGTGAAATTTCAAGATTATTTTATCCACTCGATTACAAAATCCTACTCTCAATTGTTCCCTAAAATGTTCTAGGTATATTTTTCTACTTTATTCAACGATTTGTTGCAATCATTTACACGAATGTTGTTTATACTTGCAGGAAATCCGACCCTAACAAATGTTTATTCATGTGTTATTTTCTTTTACATTTAACGAGATTTCACGCCTAAGTTTTCCGACATCTTTTCCTCTGATAATATGCGATATTTGAAACTTGTTTTTTCATCATTTTATTGTATTCAGTAGCTAATAAATCACATTTCGATTAAATATACCTGCCATATATGTCTTTGAACTACCCATCTGCCTTAATGCCTTTACTGTTAAGCAATTAGCAGGTAGGAATTTCCAGACTAATTCTGTTAAGAAATTAGTTAAGAAAGTGATAACTAATTTGTAATAACTAAAGTGTATCTAGAATAATTAATTATAAAACTGACATTTTGACAGCATTAAAAACATAAACGTAGTAATTCTACTCGCTGCGCAATTTATAACACTATTAACATTGGAAGACATGCAAGTTTTGTAGAATGATGATTTGATTGATAGTTAGTTATATATCCCATGAACATTATGACATGCAGTTAATTGTTTTGATTACCCTCTTTGAAAATGGTAACAGACAGTTAAAAATAAGTTATATTTCGTGGATTGTTATATCAGTGTTCACCAGAAAAGTAGACTGTAATCACCTTATTGATTGATTCACGTTACCAAAATGACGAATGTTAATATGAATGTAACGTTATCTACACAAAGAAATTAGTAGACACTGACAAGCAAAGCGTGAATAGTGTGCATTCAGTCTTACTTTTAATTACGTGCAATTAACTGAATAAACTAAATAGGAAACATTTTTTTCTGTTCATTATTTTAGAATGAGTCTGTCTTCTGAAGCGAAAACGCGAATAGAATTCATTTTAAATAATATATATTTTTCTATATATGCTCCTGCCGTCATTTGAAAATATAATCATGAAATATTTCTCCTAGAATGATCCACTCATGATGACAAATCAATAAATTGTTTCTTTCTCCCATGAAGTACAAATTTATTTGTTTTACTCGGACATTTTCGGGTACTCAGTCTACTTACTGAAATTTGACAAGATTGGTGAACAATGAATGCAACCCATAGGAAAATATTCAAGAAACTAAAATAATGTGGTTAACTGTTACCATCAAAAATTACGGTTCTTTGAAATACTGCATTAACATAACTGTAACAGTGTATTTCAAGATAATTAATTTCAAAATGTCTTTTACTTAGATTAGATTAATAATTTTTCACAATGGCTGTGCAACCGGAAAAGACTGTTTAGAAATATTTTATAAGTGGTCTTTATTGTTACTTTTAATCAGTAAAACGATAGTTAAAAATAAGCATGATTCATCCTGTCTCTGAATGCTATGGTTCTTAGAATCTAACTGCTATTCCGTCCACATTCAAAGATCATTCAGAAGAAGCATTCAATAAACATTAATGATAATTTTTCTGCCGAAATCATACTGATGAGACGACACTACATTAATATCAATTATCCCGAGCAATGTATGCTATAATAGATAGGTTAGAATTTAATCGACAAAATATCATTTCAGCTTTAAAAGTGTAGGTTATTTCTCTAATAGATCATAATACCATAACCTATAGATGTTCATTTTTCAATTTAAGGCCGTAATGACATAGTTCTACTAATATACTTCATTTCTAACCAACTATTGTTGAGATCACTCCTCATTAACCATCTCATTTAATTTTAACCTATTTACAAGTGAACTATTCAACTGAATTAAACTAGCATCTGTAACAATATCTTAACAATATAACCTAAGAAACTTAAATCAAAACTCTGTGATAAAACAAAACAAAAACTTATGAATTCGCATAATATTCACAATTAGTATGTTCATAATAATTTTTTTAGTTCAAAAAAAAATTTTTGTACAAATTACATAAGTATTATATTAGTGATCATTTAGAAGTAGGCAATGGAAAACACGTTCATGTTGACATGTAAATTAATGCTAAACTGAAGCGACAATTATTTCGTATAATATTTAATACAAGTCGGATTGCTGAGTTATTAAGCAATCTGAACACTAGTATAATCACTTATATGCTTTATTAATTCAAAGTGTATCTATATGGTATAGACTCTCATCATAATCACAATTTATTGTGAAAATTAAATGCAATTTATGTGATTTATCAATGGTGATTGAACATGACATCCCATTTAATGATATATGGTTTGGTATGGTATGTTTGAACAAAGATTGGTTCTGTTGAATTACTTTTAGTACCGTTTATGAACAAAACCGGAGGCACTGAAAATCAGTATAGAAATGAATAATTTATATTGAACATTGGATTTAAAGAAAGACTTGTCAACAGTTAGTTGAAATTTATTAATGGTTACTCATACACTGTTTGTATTATCCTAATGATATACATTTGTTTGGTGAAGAAATTTATATGGACTGTGCACCGTGTAATTCTCATTAGAATGTAGCCCATTACTACTGTTTCTAAATGCATTGCTATTCCAAAGTTCATAAAATCACAATTAAAGATATGTATTTTGGAAATGTATGATCTCTTCACAGATTAATATATCTATTTGTAGTACGGTATGCATTGTATTCATAAATACTGCTAATTCGAATTCTGTTTTTTCTTTCATTTTTAAAAAAAATTAAAGATGACAGTTTTGTGTAGTTAAATCTATTTCCAATAAGTTTGCACAATCGGCTCGATCCATGGCAGAGAACATGGCTTTTAAATCATTCACACTTGATTCATCACGATTTCGAGCTTCCCACAAATTGATAAGAGCTGTTGTTGGACTTGGTTGTGATTTCAAATAAGAAATATACCTGTAATGGATATATATATATATATATATATATATATATATATATTTTAAAATAATGATCTCAAGTCAAGTTAGAAAGATTAAAGTTAAGAATATTTACAAGATAAAAGTTTCTCATGGATGTGGTGGTATTGTTGAAATCGGTTTTAATCAATTCCACCGACTCAAGTATTAAGTGAAAGGAAAGGGAAAATTAAACAAAAATACGCACCACTTTAACTAATCATTTACAATGTCCTGACATTTTATTCATTCACGTGGACAGTAAATAATTCAGATCATTGGAAATTCAATTGGATATGTGTCTCAGTGTCCTTGAAAGTTAATTCCTGAGTTTTGAACTTGACTTAAAGACGAAAATCAACTTATGTTAGATTTATGCCCATCTAGTGAAAATTTTATACTTGCCAGGAAAACTTAAAAAAATAACAATTTAAGCAAGTTTAATTGTAGTTGTCACATAATGCTTTGAAAAAAGCTTTTCTTTCTCAATGATAAAAATTGTGAAGACTTTTATGTTATTCTCCAAAGAATAGATCTATACATCTTTTATTGTGTATTCTTTGAATAACTGACTTAGAATATCCTCTATATTTCGATCATTGTAGGGCTACTATTGAATTCAGAAATTGTTAAAGGTAAAAAGAATTGATGTGGTTCAATCAGCGTGAACTTATACCAAAGCTACAATATCAATACCAGAACTGTTCGTAATATCATTACTGAACATATAGAGAACCGAAATTCAAAACTAACGCTTAGTTCATCGATCAATTTTTTGTCAATAGTATACTGATGTCTTGTTTTATTCGACTACTATGAAATATGGGATCACCTAGTTTATTATCAAACATTTATAAAAATAAATTAACCAATTGACATATCATCAGTTTAATCTGAGTCTCTGTTGGGGACGTCAGATCCCAAGAACTCGCTTGGTAAATATCTTTATTTTGGATTTATTTCATGGGCCGATCAATTGACCTTGAGATCACATTTCCCACCAGGAAAATTCTTGGCTGTGATTGGTTAGCGTCATTTTAATGTTTTATTTTTGTGATTGTCCCAAGGACGTCTCTATGGGGTATAAGAAACGCAATTTGAGGGCTTGGATTCAGTGTGTGCTGGCTGGGTGTTTGTAGAATACACTTTCTGCACTATATAAAGACTTCTTGCTGGTACTACTGGGACAATCGAATCAGAGTAACCTACCTGGACGCTGGTTCATTGTTTTGTTCTCGTAATTCAGCTAATATGAACCCGTAAAAGTTTTAACCATATCTAGAGACGAGCATAACAGTCTCAGTCGGATAAACAGATACAAACATCATTGTATAGCGATAAAAGTATGATTATATTGATGAACTGAGTTTATTAAGGATGTTGAGAGATATAACAAATGATAAATAACAAACTAACCTCTCCATTCCCATATGTTTTGCTAGTTTTTGCCATTCACTCTCTCTGGTATCCAACAGTTTACATAGTCTCTGAGTAATAACAATGGGAAGTCTACTTTGAAGACAAAAGAGAAATATGAAAAAGAAATAATTAATCCGGATGTTTTAAGCAAAATAAGCAGTAATACACGTTCCGAAAAAAAATATATTTGATCATAAACACTTGGAAGAGTGTTTATTACTCAGAGAAAACTCGATTTACAATATTTATGCACATAACAGTTGCTTGAAACACTAGGCAATAATTTCTGTAGATACGCTAAAATGCCTATATGCACTGCCTAGTACCCACGAGTATAAGAAACAGGAAATGGTACTACTTAGGATACACTAACTGTGCACTTCTTCTCTCACTCTCCTTTACTTTCATCCTTTCAAACTATATGTCATTTGACTCCACATGATGTAATATATAATATAGTGATGGAACAGTGTGTGTGTGTACGGTTTTTTCTTTTAATAGTTTTTCTTATTAATTAAATATTATCATCAGTAATACATTGAAGTATATATATATATATATATATATATATATATATATAACCTCCTACGGAGCAGACAAAACAAGTAATCTAAATGTCCATACTATCGCTGTTACATTCCTGCTTTTATTTTTTTGGTATATACGTTGTTCTGTATAAATGTGTGTAACATAAATGTTTCAGCCAGTAAATCTTAATGGAACATAGTTTATAAGTGTTATTATTGATTCAAATAGTTTTAATGAATATATAATTAGGTTGTAATAGTTCATAATTCTATAGTGCTCGTTAGTTAAATTATACGACAAACAATATGCCATTTCATTTACCGGGTGATCTACTTTGAGCAAAATGCAAAGTAGTGGTGAGTGAGTGCATATTGTTTCACATACTGTTCCATACTGTATTAACAGAGTGGAAAAACAAAGCGAAAACAGACCATATTGATTATGAGTGGTTCGTCTTAATTTGATAACTTTGATTAGAAAGAACCTTCCAATCTTATTTGAAAACATAGAGAAGAGTAATGGTCGAAAATGTCGAAAATGTCCTCTCATGACTTCAAGCAAGAGACTGACAACTCATATTCGCTTAGTTTTTCAAAATACCATAGACTGTATCTTCCTGTCCAAAACCCATGTTACCAATCGATTGAAAGGGTGTTAGGAGATAGATTTCAATTATTTGAAATCTGAACTATCTGTATATCTTATTAACGTTTATAATAATATGACTAAAGAAAAAGTTTAGACTACTATTGTTCTGCTTCATGTTAGCAACAAAGTGTACTAGCAGCCTTATAGAAGAACCGTAGGGTCTGCAGTTGTTTATAAATATGACTCATATTATACCAAACATATCAGTTATTTGTGATCCCCATCTTCAACTATATTCTCCATATACATTAATGTTTACGTTGGAGTGTGTCATCTTTTTCAAAGAATAAAATATGCGATATGTAGGGGACACTATAATGGAAAATGCCATCTGCTGAAAGAAAACCTTTAGGAGATCAGTAATTAAATTTTATGCTACTGATCACAGTAAACAGGTCACGTTTACATTTAAAGAGAAACACAATACCCTTAATGAAGATTTTAGGTATGTCAGTGGTTGTGAAGTTCGTTGTACTAGTTACTATTATTTTTTTGAATTCAGACTATCAGCTGAAGAGGATATGGACAGTTAGTTTTCTGAAAAAAATAGATCGAAGAATTGAAACTGTATTGACATGAAACTTACAGAAAGATCGGTAAGTCTCACAATACAATAGTAAGTGCTTGCTAATTCAATGTACTTCAGATACATTCACTGCTTTTGTACACTACAACCGTAGTTAGCAATTTGCATGAAATAATAGAGGCAAGTAATCAGGAAGATCGATAAGATAATATCTATTTGATCTTAAGAGCACTCTATGAAAAGCCACGAATCTGATAGAGACTGAACATTAGTCAAGTATAGTTTGGTGTCCTGATCCTACGTCACTTTATGGTGGCTAACATTATCAAACGCTTTGAACCTGATGTTTGCAAACAGGATTTCACTACTCAATAGGTTACACATGTTTATATTTTTATTTACCAAGTTTGATCATTCATTTACTCTAACTGTATAGGGTAATGTGATTTATTTGCTGACTATTAACATTGTTACCACACTCTGCTTTCGTCTTTCTTTCACAGATCTGCAATGTTATTCTTAACAGATACAAACTGACATCATATTCATGGTGTATTAAATTAACAACTAATCATCATAAGCGACTGTAATTTAGACATACTGCAGTCGACGAAAGATTATTATACAGTAAAGTTATTTTTATGTGTTACACATCACCACATCAGCTGCTTTGCAATGGGAAAAGGATATTCACCATACTTTAGAATAGTATATTTTCATAAAAGTAGATTAATAGAAAATAGCTCAATCACCATGATGAAATCTGGTCTCACGAGGAGTTTTAGGAATATTTTAGACATCATTTTTGGGTTTAAAATACTTGTGCTAGAAGCAGCTTTATATTTTGTAGTTCATTTCAGTAACAGGACATTATTTTTCGAAGCAAATGTTTATATATATATATATATATATATATATATATATATATATAACCTTGTAAACTTCTATATAGTGACAATTTTCTGTTTATTTTTCTGTGTTTTTAATATGACAATCAGTTTGCCATATGTCTTGAGTTTTTTTCAGTCAAAACAGAACCAGTGGCACGTTATTTAATAAATCATAGTCACAAGAGTCCCCTACTTACCTGCTTATATTGGACAAGATTAAAGAGATATTGCTTTGAACGATTTTATGATAAATTTTAATCAGGTTTAAAATTTGTTTGTTTATGAAATTTCTACTTGTCTGCTTTTATTAGCCATAACAACAGAAATAAAATACGACTGTCAAATAATAAGTATGATGTTGTTATTACAGCAAATCTTGAATCGCATTAAACTGTTCCGCAAACAACCATTATCTTAAATTATATGTAATAATTATTCAACATAACCGTAGTATTGTATGTTTTCATTTCTAATGTTAAAATAAGTTCGTATATTAGTATTCATTCTTTTTTTCTCATACTATCTGACCGACCGAAAGTTGATTTATGCAAGGCAAGTCTGATACAATGATTAGAGAACAAATACGTTTTACATAAATACACAGTCACAAATATTACTAACATTCCTCAAGCATGAGAATGAGAAAACTAAACTGACGTAATAAACAGAACCATCTAAACATTGTCGGATATCTACTTAATTCTTGTCTAAAATTTTTCTTCTCATTTCAGTTTTACTTTATTATCATATGGAAGTTTAATTTATTCAATCTTTGAGTTCACAAGTTAAGTTTGTTTTGCGCGCATCCACACTAAATTTTCAATGCATACGAAAAAAAAATATTCGAAATATTAGTAAGCAAGTAATGTAATTTTGTAACTAATTTGTTTAAATGTAATTTAATTACTAGAACTAGTGATGACATAAAAAAAATGATAAAAATAACTCCTTCAAAAGAATTTGCTATTAACAGCCGGTCTCTAGAGAAATCATTATTTATGCGTTTGGTAAAATTGAATCAACTAACTAAAAGACTATATACTCTATAATCAGCCTACTACAATAAACTTCTACTCCCAATGAATTTCAAACAGATCAAATTGTTCATTTGAAAATAACTAGTGAAAAAGTATCCGTTTTCTATGCAACTTCTTTCACTTAAAAATAAAATTACATTTGACATTACAGTTGAAAATCCAGCACACTATGGATCGGAAAACATTTGGGATAGTCAATGGCCATTCGGTAGCTTTGTTTCAAACTAGGCATCTTTTCATGTACGGTGTTCTCATAACTTTTGGCGAGAAAAACTGTTACATTTCTAGAATACAGAACATGTAAGTATTCTGATAGGTTCATTAAAAAAGAAATAAGTTGTAGTGTTCTTGATAATTATTCGTTCTTTTTCAAATTCTTTCGCACTGATCATAACTTTCAAGCAGAATATTTCCCACTCTACTCACCGAGTTCTATGTGATTCAAGTTGGACATTTCACGAAAGTCATAGTTACCTTATATTTTCGAATATTTGTGGACATCCTATAAATGTAAGACTATATTTGTACTGTCCAGTCAAGCGAACACTAAAATAAAGTTAAAAAATTGGCTTCGTTTAGTGTCATATGATAAAAATATTTTCAGATTTTTAAATCGACCAGAATAAATATGAGCTTAAATAAAATATTGTTCAAAGTGAAATGCGAACTCACTCAACTCCATAATTCAAATATCAAACATAATTTTATGCTGTAAGTTTTGATGAACAGTATATTTTTAAAATTGATGACATCAAATTTAATATAAGTAAGTGACTTTCATTTTACTTACCGATATGCACTAGGAAAACTGTATATATCTGAACTTCCCTCTTCAGAACTGGAGAATCTTGTTTTTGAATGTCCGGTTTTCAGCTGGGAAAAATTTGAATGGTGCAAAGTTATACTTCGTTCAAGAAAGCTAGTAGTAAAATTTGTAAGCATTTATTCAAATTAAGTGTTCCGAAGTGTACAGTCAATAAACAAACAGTTTATATGTTCTTCTCAAAAATTATGAGGTCTAGTCCTGGTGTGTGTTGCATATTTCCAACGTAAACACATTTATACAGATTTATTTGAAACAACTGATCGGTACATCACTCATTCCCAATGGAAAAGTTATCAAAACTTGTACATCTTTAAATTTGTCGTACAAAAAGTCATATTGAGTATTAGTCTGTTTTGGAATGAAACAAAATCTGATTAAATATATGCAACAATCATAGTTCATTAAGAAGCAAACAGAATTGAATCTGTCAAAGTTGATAATTAGTAGAGCTCATATTCTGCATTACTTATGGTAAAATACATTTTCAGTATGGAGTTCATCATAGCAGTATGTTTAAGTGGAGATATTTTTATGTTCAAAAAAGATTATCTTAACAAACCAAAACAATTTAGCAAATTTTTAAAAATATTATCTTGAATAATTTGTTTTAGATAAGCACATAAGATTGTAGAATGTTGCGGACTATCAATTAACTTCCAAAACTGTTTTATGAAAACGGTGGTTAAAGGCATAATTCGTCACTTTGTTATCATGGGCTTTATGATGCACATTTGCAAAAGACAATGTCATTTTTAAGTCTAAAACAAATATTATTATCTATTATTCATTTAACGTATATTCGAAGTAAACTTTTTATATGGCTGATTCTACCGTATAAAGAAAGTTCTTCAATTTAGAAATTTCATGTAATTTGTGAATAATATCTTATGCATACTTAAGTTAAACAGAGTTAAAACATTCACTGAGCGAAAATTTAAACAGATTATCACATTTACCTCAAACTTTTGGTTTGAAATTTTTAAAGTTTGCTCTTGTGATTGAGCATTCTCTTGAAAAACTCTAATTTTACAGGACACATTTAATTGGCGTGAATCCAAGTGCTCAAGTGAGAATGCACAATGCAATGTAGACATTTGTGTCCCATTCCAGATATGCCGAAATGGTATTTCCTGTATGCAGAAAGTTTATAAAACAATTATTTTAGTGATTATTAGTTAAATTAACTTACATGAGTGAGTGTTTAAAAAATAAAATATAGATGTCAGTTGTTTAATAATTCACTAATATTCTTGGGCGATACGTTTATCGTAACGTTTCTGATAAATAGATAGGTTTTAATTTTTTGGTTGTTACATAATAAAATTTGATCGTCTTCTTCGGAACCACGGCTCATAAATTATGGGTTATGATACTTCTAAGATGATGTTTAACATAGACAAGCTTCATTTCAATTGAAAATTCTGAGCTATCGAAGTACAGAAGGTACACTGTAACCTTAGCAGCAAATGAGTCACAATAAACTGCTTTAACCTGTTTCTCTACACAGCCTTATATTTTTAATTGTGAATTAAAATGAATTTATCAATAAAACGTTAATGCTCAACTACTAAAATAGTATTTGAATATTCGGAATACAAAAAAGCACATAAGTCCTCTTGTGACAATCCTCGAGGAATCAGTTTAACTAATATGGTATCTAAAATATTCTCCTCAATAATATTCAGACGCCTAACTAGATCTCATAAAAAGCAGACTAGATAAAACCCAGGCTAGTTTCTGACCTGTAGGTGGCTGTGCAGACCAGATATTCACACTACGTCAGGTCCTAGAACTTTTAGACGTCCGACAATAGTGGTATTTCTCGACCACAACGTGTCATTCGACTCTGTCGATCGTGAGGTTATACATCAGTGTCTGTAAATGAAAAGAGTTACAGAGAATAACATTAACCTCATACAAGCTCTCTACTCGAACACTGCAGGTCGAGTGAGAGTTTATGGAGAACTGACATCGGAACTGATTACCTCAGTTGGTGTTCGTCAAGGTTGTTTACTCTGTCCATTCTTACTCAACTTTGTCATAGACATGTTTATAGAGATAACACTTTCCTTGTCTGACTTTCAAGGAAATGAACTTTAACCCGAAGATTCACTTGTTTAGCTATCCGTCTACCAACCAAAGGACAGGTTTACTGTTTTCTCTATCCTACTTTGTGGCTGTGAAACATGGCCAGTAAGAGTAGGGGATATTCGTAGACTATGAGTATTAAATCATCGGTGTATCCAATCTTTGTGTTCTCTCAACTCCTCATGACCTTTATCTTTCTCTTCTCAAATTTATTTGATTGGATCATTCTTCGTGAATGATTTCTTTGGATCCTAATCTTCTCCACTACTAATAATAATTCTAATACCTATTATACCTTTATAGAATTTGAATCGGCAATTGCATCTCTGTACTAACGTGGTATGGCAACTTGAACTGATGTATGTATGAAGTTCTACGTTGTAACTGACTGACTGACTTATTAGGAAAAAGATTATTCTCCGATTTAATATAAACTTTTCCTGGTTAAGTATTGTTTCACAAACTATAAAATGTGAAAATCTGACAAAAAGTGTTCACTAGTATACATGGTAATGATGTTCATTAGTGTACTTAATGTCTTGCTTGCCATCATTCTTGTCAAAAAGTTAAAAGTTACTCGTTATCTGCCTATCATAATTTGAATGCAAATCACGCCCGATGCTAAGTCATTATATACAAGTTGAAGAATATCAATACTTGCGTACTGAAAACTTCAAAAATCAATCAGGCATATCAGTGTAGTATTCAACAGGTATATCCAAAGGCATAAATACACAAATCTATACCTCAACAAAATGGTAGTGTTGTAGTGATGTGGCAATTAATACTATTAAACACCTAGTCAGAAGTGTTAATAACGTCAAAGAAATGTTCAAAAGAATCAATGTTGTTACTGAAAAGATCAATTAAAAGAATCAATATGACGGATAAAACGGATATTTAGCCTAATTTATATACACAAGCGTACAAGACAAAGTATGCCGGAATGAAATGGGAATAATTATAAACAATATGCCGTCTAGAATTTTTGTCATCAGTAGAAATCATTAATTAGAAAAAATCAATGAATGTATCTTTTTGTAAAGTAAATAGTACTGTCAAGAATCATTACATTACTTTGCTTAGTCTGTAAATCCATGACTAATTAACAACTTGTCTACTCACATTCTTTAAATTTCTGTCGCTTGATTTTTATGATTATAGCTTAGAGTATTTAGTTGGTGAATTATTTATTCAAACACTGTCTACTCTTTGTAAAATGATAATGGTTAAAACTTAAAATATACTCACTGTTAATTAGTTCAGGATATATATATATATATATATATATATATATATATATATATATATATATGTCAGGAAATAATTATTGTAAACAACCTTTAATGAAGAAATGTCAATCAGTTAAATTAGGACAATGTTTGTCTTCTCTAAGCGCATAGAATACATTACTTAATATTAGACGCACATAAAGATGCCGTTTGATGTATGTATATGTTTTTAAAGACATTATTCCATTAGTCTCAAATGATGATCCCGTAATACATTTCTCATATGAACGAACTTTTAAATTAAACACGTATGTCACTGGTAAGGGAAGTAAGAATCTATGATGTGAACAAATGGAACAAATGAAATTCAAAAGAGTATGCTCTGAATGCTATTAAAATGTACACATACTACGATTATTTCCATTCACTTGCATAAAAACAAAAAATAAACATTATGTATATGCTTGTGTTCACGAACCTGTGATTTTGTTTGCAATCGGCTTCTCCATCCAGGAGAAATGTCCTCAATGTAGAAACATAGCCCTCCACCATTATCTTTGAATAATAATGACTTTGGATCGTCCAACAGTCTTCCTTCCAATCGTTTCTCTACGCATAAAACATGTTCCAATGCATCTTTGGTATCGGTGAGCACATAAACTCTTATATTGTAATCGATCGTAGGTGTCAGTGGTCCGGCGAATGCAGCTAATTTCAACATTTTCGTTGCAGGTTGTACATCAGACAAAAATCCACTATCTTGTGTGCTATCTGTCATGGTATTATTGCCATTAATAAAGTTTGTGATTTTTACACGTTGCATACCATTCGTATTGATACCGTTAGGAAAATTTGGGAACTCTGTGTGATTTATATTTTTATGGTTTGATATTAATCGATCACCGACAAGAAGTTTCTGAGTTTCACCAACTAGACAGTAACGCTGTGCAACATCAGTTATCAGATGTGCCATATTTGCATCGAGATGACAAATCATTTTAGTGATACTCGATTCATAACCAATTATTCCCACTTCCTACGAAAAGGTAGAATTAAAAATCAGAAATTTATTTGCAACTGTACCTCAAACAAATCGTATGTACACTTAGTCACTTGACAATTTATATAAAACTGCCCTGAAAGAAGGAACGAAATATGTGTCTTATTCCATGTAGTAGGACTTACTAATATATTTCTGACGGTATTAGGCCCACCTACTTAGCTGATATACTGGGTATTTGTGTTAAATATGCATATATTTCAAAATAAGCACATTTATTATTAAACTTATTTCGAAATTCACACAGTATTTTCGTTACGTGTCATTAATATACTTATTCTAGTTCTATGACAGACTAAGAGACAGAAAGTGAAAACTAGGATAACTGAGAAACGATGTGAAGGGTGAAGTAATTGACTATTTGAGTAGTGTATTTCCTATCTAAAGAATAAACAGTAGGATAAAAGACACTGATAGGATCTAATGAGTGTCAAGTTGCTTATGTTTCAGGGGATTTAAAATTATGACTAACATTCTAGCTTGTTGTTGTTTTAGTCACCGATAATTCTTCTGTCAAGAATAGATCAAATTTCTTTATATATTTGGAAATGCATCTACACACACACTATAAAAACTTGTATGAATAAGTGATTAAAATGTCAGTTGCTCAGTTTTGTCAATGTTGTTAGTTTGTATTATCATGTTTATGACGTAGATAGACACAGTTGAAAAGAAATACACAGAGGTAGGAAGCTAAAACAAAAAAGCGATGAACACAGTATTGTTAGTTTTACTTTGACAAAGGGTGGTGAAATCATCTCATTGTCGAGTGAATACATAAAGGAAATTATAACTACATATGATTTTTTAGTACTACTTCATTTTTCTCATACACAGCAAACACTACTACCGATGACTATTGTAATATCAAGTCAAAGAAATATATACAAGTTAAGGTGATGTTATCTTTTTCTTTTTAAAGCAGAAGATATTTTCAACGCTTTTTTTCTTTAAATACAATGTATACATAGTTTGATTTTAATTATTTGTAATAATTACAAGAAAGAGGAAGGAACACATTCGTATTGTCTGTTGTACATTTTGCACCGGTGAACAACATTATTAAAATCATTTAAAACACTTTCACTTTATTACGAGTAAGTTCTATTTATCTGAATTGTATACTGAAATTGAATAGAATTATTGTCAGGTTATCTGAATTCAATGCAAACTGTTAACTGAATATAACTTGGTCTGTATTCTTGATAGTTCTACTCATTGGAACAAAAATAATTTGTGGGCGTGTTAACATGTGCTACATGTTAACAAACTATTATCAAGAAACAGCTTCATCAATCAATGATATAAGACTCATAAGCATATGAATCATGCGAAACAACTAAAGCTCATAAAGCAATGATTTTAATTATTATTATTAGTAATATTATTTCAGTTTCACTTTTGACTCCAAGCCAGGCTGAGCTTAGAAATTTCAATTTTCGTATTGAGTTATGTTTCAAGCTAGAATGGAATTCATTTCTAATGGTTTTGTTGTCAAATGTTATTCGTGAAGTCACCTTCACTAAAGACCCTGGTATTATTTACTTGCTCATCTATTTTAGCTTTTGTATTTACAGGGGTTTTGTTACCCTGTCAAAATACCTTCATACTATTTAGATGAATATGTATAGATAATTCTCGATAGTAGCTTTAAAAAAGTTGCCAACTGATCTACGAGTTTCTAGTTTAAACAAAAAAAAACTTAGAAAGTTGATTATCAAACGAAAACTGTGACAAGAAAGCCAAGTAATACTTACCTGCCATACATAATTATCAGAATTTGTCGGTACTGCACTGGAACTGGATTTATATCCGTTGATATTTGATGTATTCAAATTATTAGGCGAACGATTCGAACTCGGTCCTAATGCCAACACTCGTATTAGCCAACTGCTTTGATTCAAAACGGCGCAATGAGGAAATGATAAAAGTACCGGTTTCAACAAATTTAAGCCCAATGGTCCAAATTGAATAACAGGACTTATTAAGGTTTGATGGTCTATAAATGAAAAGTTTGAAAGAAGCATTTTTTTTAGTTCATCATAACAACTGCTTCGAATCATACAAAGAAGATTTCATTGGATTTTTTCAATGAGCTCATGTGGAAGGTCAGGATGGTAATTCATGGAAAGTTTGACAGTAGCTTTCGTTAACATGAAGGTGATGTTCTTTACCAAACTTTGTAAGTAATAAAAAAAAACCAGTACTTAAATATCTTGTGAAATCTCAAAGTCTATGAAATAAAAAAATGCAACCTAATTTGAGTTATTAAATTAAGTAAGTCTAACAAATGAATTCAAATAATAATTGAGATATTTTATTTCCATTTCAATTTCAAACCTATTTCTTTCATATTCAGTTAATTTTAAGATTTCAACCGAAAACTAGATGAAGTGCAATTAATCTAGATGATAAATTTTGAGAAAACCAGTCTATTTAAAAGCATTTTGCTTTATCTCTGTGTTTTCTTCAGCGCTTAAACTTATCTCATTAGCTTCACTAATGAAAATTCGAAGAAAATCCTATTTCTAATTCTTATCACAATAATAAAAAGTTGTTTCCTAATGCTTAAGTGTACCTTATTTGTTTTTGACATATACTGGAACATTAGGAAAATGAAAAAAAAACCGATTCAATGAATCTGTTCTTTATTGACGTAATTCTTTATTGATGTAATACAAGTTACAGTTGAGTAAGCATTATCTCTCTTGTTATATATATCTTCTAAAATACGTTTTATTATTTATTTGATTAGATAAAAACTAAATGAAGTTTTATTTACTTTAACTTTTTTTCTTTTTGCCGAGTTTACCACAGCTACTGGCTGGTACTTGTTGTGATTATGCAAACGAGAATTCACATTCTGTGTGGAAGTTAATCAACTTTATCAGACAGATACAGCAACAACAACAACAACAACAACAACAAAAAAGAAAGAAAATAATGCCTAGAATCAGTAAAATTAAATTATGGACACATGTTTACTTAACAAATCCACACAAATATATATGTATATATTTATTTATGTGTACATAAATGCACTGACACAAACTTGTTTGCGCCTATTTAGTGAAGTTGCCTACAAATCATACAGACCGCCATTCGAATATGATACTTAACACCACATAAGTAGTAGTAGTAGTAGTAATATGGATTTTGTCACATTTTCTTTCTTTATTTATTTATTTACCATCTGTTTTATCTATTTTATGAACACTTGAAAGACAAATAAATTTGTGTGTCCACAAAGATTACTTTTCGTTTGAGATAATAACTGTATAGACGAAGCAGTAAGCTTTAGGTCATTTCACAGCATGTTATTGAGTTTGTTTTATTTTTTTTACTTATTTATTTGCAAATTAAAATTCGCTTAGTTCAATTAATTTTTCCAATGAGTCTTTATTACTGTGTTGTGTTAGTTGGTTTTAATGAATAGCAGCGGATAAAAATTATGAAGGAAATAAAGATTCAGCAATCGTTCTCACCATTTAATTAATGACACTTACTGTAGTAAAAACAGATTTAGAAAATATATTGCAAAACCAGAGCCCTGATTATTTATGTCATCCGTAGAGAAATATCGAAATCGGTTTTTTAGAACTGTAAGGCATGTATTAATTTTAGTTTCATTATCATTGAGTGCTATGCTACTTCTCACTTTAAAATATTCATTAGTTAAAATCCTCTCAGTATATAAAGTGAGCGAATAATGAAATCCTACAATGAAAACAGTGTTCTCACTGCTTTTATTTCTGACGGTTGCATTTATCCAAACTCTGGGAAACAAGTTAAAAAACTAAATGTTTCACACAATCTTTCTGACAGTGAACATGGTTTGAGCATGCTCATCCTACTTGTCAAACAAAAACTATTTTGCTGTGAAATGTATCAGATTCATTGGGTTAACAGAATCTGCGTGCCTCTAAGATTCTTGTTAATGTCAATACTTTAATCAATTCTCTTCATGATCTGTATAAAAGGTATGTATAATAAACTCGGTTTTCACTTGTTCATAGGTTGTAGCCGAATAGATAAGCAGATTTAAAATAATCACAAACTATTAAAACTATGAAAATTGTCTAACGAAAATTACTCATAGTCATAACATAAGTTACCATTTGAAACATAAATTGATTTACACTAGTATTTTTCTTGCTAACATATGGATGAAATATTCCCTTCAAATTTAGTAGTGAATAATACATTCCGAATCATTTAATCGTTATTATTATTATTATGTCTGGAAAAAATATGTAAGAAAACATCATTTTTCATTACATTTAAACATATTTATTTTAGAGTGTGCATACAACTGGTCTGTATGCATGTTCTCTTGATGGGATTAACTCGTTCATCCTGCTAATAGTTAATATTATAAGCATCGAGAAGTGAAATATTAAGAAACAGTAAGCACATCTATAATAATAAAAGCATACGTATCCATATGCACACATTCATTTCACATAATATTGTACATAGTATGATGACACTGACGTACATGTTATGAAAATAGTCTACGTGCATCTAAATTAATCTTATCATTTCGTCAGATTACAAATGAAAAAAGGATAGATGAAGTGCTTTAATTCGTTACATATAGAATGAACAGCATTACTGATTACATTGCTGAAGAGTTTCGTATGCTTTTACCCACTCTTCTAAAGCCTTTTGGTAAGTGGTTGATCCATTAGAAAAACTGAATGAATATTTTTGTGGCTGTATATTTACCGAACCCATAGAACAGAGACTATCAACTGGTTTCTTTCATTTAAACCAATGACGTTGTTCTGAAAGATATCTTCTGTTGGTATAAACTAGGCAGTCGCAATTTGCAAAACGAAAATGAGTTTGTTCCATTCATAACTTATCACAGCGATTTTAGCATTGACTGCAGTTACTAAAATGGATATGTTTTGTATTAACCACTGTGATCAGACCGAAATATCTGCATAAAACACAATATGATTTATTATTACTACCTAAAATGAGAAGAACTATTAGTTTATAAAAGCTGAACAGAATTTTACCACAGGATTAATAACCATTTTAAGTAAAAATTTTTTCAAAATGATGAGGCTATTTTGGCGATTGCACTCGACGAAATTATTAACCGCCTAGAAAATGCTTAATTTTAAAATCTAAACAGTACAGTAAAATGATCTTTATGAAACATGTTACATTAAACAAGATAAATTCTGTCTAACTCCGCCTAGAGCCTCTCTGGGGCTACTGCCGGTGCCAAGCCCGGATAAAGGAGGAGTTAGATGACAGTTGTACAAAAAACAGGCCTATCTGGCCCTATGAAGAATAAATAATACAAGACTGAATAAAAGTTATTAGTGTATAAACTGCTAGTACAAAATTATAGCTATATATTTCTGAATGACAGAATCATTTAAATCTATGGGTATTCAACGAGATTATCAACCTGTGAGTAATAACGAATGGATTTATGTCAATGAATTTCAGGACTGACGAATATATCCACTAATTCAATTGACAGACCAGCTAAAATGGTGTATAACTTAACAAAAGACCTGAATCTAGCATTTAATTCATAAGATCTAGCTGCAAACTTAACCTATACATTATGCATTGCACTCGAGCATCACGGAATTATAAGCAATTAGATTTGAAGTTTCAACAACATTATCTTTGTGATTTAGGAAATCATTAGACCCTGTTGATAAAACTGACTTCTTGTAATCTATTCTAGTCATCAGTCTCTAAATGTTGTTTGAGGAAGCTGTAACCTGATGCTAAATTTAATACAGATTGAACAGTTTTATTAAAGATGCTGAACTTCATAGAATCACAGTATACTTGTAGTTTATTCGTTATCAGTAAATGACAGAATGTTTCTTCAGTAGGTGACTTAACTTGGTTGTGGTAATAAACGGCTTTGGTATAAGTATTTAGATATTCAGCTACTAATCTCTCTTACTGAACAATAGTAGACAATAATCTTAGTTTATTGGTTACTGGTCTTCAAGTTTTCGTTATTTCCTTCTATTTTAAACCAAACAATTGCTCAAATTCGGTTAGCAGAATCTTTCTCAGCCTTTTCTCAACAGGAACCTGGCGTTTATTATGCCTCAAGATACGATTTCGCTCACTTCTGTGGCAATAACTAATTTTACGTGAAAGAAAAAAGGTGAATTTTAATATTGTCGGCCCGGTTACTATGATAATAATAATAATTATTAATATTGTTCGGGGGTCAAGTGGTGAAGTTTGTCATTTACACTGTTATGACTCAACGCTTAGAAAAATTTATGTAATTCCTTTAGGCTAAATTATAATATCAACTAATTTTCTATTAACATAGATATTAAGCACTTTATCAACATGTAATTAGTCAAGCATGAACTTCATTTGATGGAAAGACAAAACGGATTTTTCATTGTATATCTAGGTGAATAATATAATTATGAAATTTATATACGTTGAGATAATAGCCATAAACAAATATATTACATTTCTGTTCACTGTAACTCAGTGGATATTAAAAATACCTGCAGGCTAAATTGTCGCAGTGTATGTTTTGTAGATAATACAACATATATTAGTGTATTGAGTGTAAGGAAACTAGGGAAAGCTGATTGAATCAATGAAAGAAAAATCTGTAAACTCGGTTGTTTTCTTAGTAGCAATCAAATAGACCCATGAACCATCGACTTTTTAATTAATAGAATTCAGTAATAAAACTACCAGTTTGTTGTAGTCTTAACAACTGACTTCTAAGTTGATTTTAATAATGCCCGAAGTTTAATTAACTTTAAATTATGCGAATTTATTGTAGACTTGTTATGCAGATTGTAAGGATACTTTTGCATCCCTTAATGATTTTCGAATAATTTCACTGGTACATATTATGAAGTGGAATTTTCAATTGATTATTGATGCTTGGATGAGATTTTGTTGGCCTTAAACAATCAGTAAAAAAAGCAAGTTTAGCAAGTTTATTCTCTTTTTTAATCCCAAAGAACAGGTGTTCATTTCTATAGTAATTTAAGGCAACTTTTAGCATAGAAAATTTTTTCAAAGATTTTTACTACATTAGAAGATTGCTAAGTATTGATTTATGATCGTGTAGCTGCACAACAGCTACCTACTAATGAAGATGGTGAATTTGAAATAAGCGCAAGAACTATTTTAATTGATGAACAACATTCGTACTGCTGAAAAAATCAAAACATCTTACATTGAATACAAATGTTTTATATCGAGAACATTTACTGAATAGAAAGTTTTCTTTTTAATTTGATAAATAATGTAAGTGACTAACTTACCATTTAATGTAGGACGATGTTTATCTTCTCGACAGACTGCCAAATAAACTTCGACTAGTGCATTTGATTCTAGTGCACCTTGTGGTACGGTCAAAAATACACCTGTTCTCAGTAACACGAACCGGAAGAATAACAACATATCCATTCATTATCCGTCAGATTAGATTGGATAAATTAAGCCAAGAGATTAATTAACCGAATAGAAAGAGAAAGGAAAACACAGAAACTCCTTTAGATATAATAGACTCAAGAATTAATTGTTGCCTAATATATAATAGTTTTGGTGCGATTTTGTCAGTTTCTCCGTTCTGTTAAATTTTAAAATAAAAAGTTTAGCATTCTTTCAATATATCCAGGTGAAACAACATAAAGCACAAGCGACAACCGCCTGACACCCGATAATACCGGTTAGATATTTTGTCTTAAAGTTGTACAGCACTTCATGATATCAGATCACTAAATGCATGTTTAATACCGATCAGTTTTCAGTTACGTCTAACTCAATGGAGCTTTAGTGTTTGATTGGCTGACCTGAATTTCGGTTATAAAAGAAATTCAAGTTTATCATAAATCTTCAGTCTCATTTTCATAATATCTGGAAAGTAGGAAGTTTTACAAATGATTTATGCTAATCGTTTAGTCGGTTTCATTCTGTAAAGTTTCGAAAAAAATCGTAATAAAATCGATTGTATTTTCATACATATGTTGACCTTCATTTAAATATCAATAAATCAAAAAACTTTAAACTGTTTATTCAAGCAATGATGAAAATTTTTAGCAGATGGTTGTCCCAGTAAAAACTTCTCCCACTAGCTCTGACTGTCCGTAAATTTCAAATGTTATATAATTTAGTAATTAATTTGCATTTCGCGTGACATTTAAATCACAACGTTATTCACCAATTATTGAATGCTGAAATATCGAAGTATAAATTATGTGGCGATTCGAAATGTACTATAGTATTATTCTGTAAGATAATGACAGTGTAATAAAAAACTACTAACGAGTGAAATCTGCATTCTAAAAGAACATACCTGATTGTGGCAAGGCTAGTTGATCACCATTGCTTGATATAGTTGCACGTACAATCGTATCCGAATCTAGAGAATCCTTAAATTCACATAAAAGTGATCGGTCTGATGAATCTCCGTCTAAAGATAGTTCATGGTACCACCCTGATTCCGGTCCAAATTTCTCATTGCACTCATCGATTTCCGCATTTGAAAAATTTATGTGATAGTTATTGGGACTTCTATTTGTTAGGCATCCATTTACAGGTAATCCCACTGACCCAGCACTACTTCCTCCATTGCAAGATCCAATTGCAGTGACAGTTGTGCCTGTATTTGCAGTGGAAGGACCAGAAGAGCTCTCGACTGGACCGCCTAAATTGTTTACAGCTAATGGTGTTGGAAACTGTGGTCCGTAACCTATTCTAGATAGTCCAACTTCTGATTCAACATATGCGGGTCTGTGGTAGGGGAAGAAAGATTAAGAGAGAGTTGTGATAATCGTGCAAGCTTTTCAAATTGTAGAGTTCTGCCGAATAGTGACCGAAACAAATTAGTTTCTTTCAAAATCTTCCCCCTAAAAGTACAGCATAGTTACGAATCTGTCAGTCTGCTGTAGGGTATAAGCTTTTGTAACCAACTGATAAATTATGTAGTGTTTTCTTGTTCATTTCCATGTCCTACATCAATCACTATGTCTCATCTTGCCTTTCAACGTAATTTTTTCCTAAGGTCAATAATTATTTGTGTTGAACATTTTCTTTTCTCACTGCTCTTAATCTCTAAACTCATTATCACATTTCATAAATAGAGAAAGGAGACTATTGATGACAAAATCTAACTGAAAAATACACGCCCTAAATTGAAAAGAAATCATTTTCTTTAACAAAATAAAAGAGAACAAGTTCAAAGGTCATGTGAATTAAATTAGTTACAACACTGCTTCCTCGGATGACATAAATCTCGGGAAAACAGATAGAATAAATGGATTCGTTATTGTTTTTTTTTTTGAAACAGTTTAATAGAAGCAAAAAAATTGATTAGCATTTCAGAAATAATTTTTAAATGGTTTGGGTAATTTTTAGCTCAGTTGTTGTACATAATGAATTCTGAGTAGATTTGAGGCAGGAAAACGAATTCATCTTGCATGTCGAGCGTGACGGATTGATGCTAACACCACAAAACAGTTAATTTTCGACAGTTAAATCTGCTTAGTAACTTCGGATTTCTAGTTACGATTTCGCTACTATTAGTGATGAGAGTTTCAATTGAGGAGAATATACCATTTCGTGCAGAGAATGTAGTTCACACGTAAACTGCTTCGCTTGTAAGAATAAATGATATGGTCATATTGGTTTAATTGAAACTCATTTAAATTACGTTTTATAGACAATTACTTTTTAGACTGAGATAACATACAAGTCATGTGATCGGGTAAGTCTTTCAACATATATATATATATATATATATATATATATATATAAGGAACAGTCACTACTCTCCCTTAAATTCTAATGACCATGAGACCGTTTATATTTACACATTCTTTCACACTTTAGTACACCTAATTAAAACAAATGACTTCATAAGAAAAAAATTATAAAAATGTATGACATATCTATATTAGAAATGCACTTTCATGACAAAAATGATGCACCATCTGTTTATATTTTATGAAAAACTTGCAAAATTGACTCGTGTCTGTTAATTTTGCTGTCATTTTGCATCGGATCAAATTTTCTGGTTATTGGGGCTTAAAATTTTTTAATATATTAGGTTAAATGTTGTAAGCTCATGTATTCGAAGAACCGAATCAATAGTTCTCTTCTAGTTAAACTGCTGATATTGATTTATGAACTGAGAAAAAGCAACAAAATGGACAGAATAAAATGATTTCATTTTATTTCGAGGATTCTCATCATGTTTATTTACTATTTATAGGTCATGGAATAAATACTTAAGGTTGAATATATTTTAAATGCTGGAGATATGAAAATTTAAAACGGAATCGAAAATTATGCGAGAAATAGTACACAATATGCACTATATTAAACTAATTTGAAAACTGATATGTTCCTATTAAAAAAAATAGGTATGAGTAACAGATAAGGCTTAGATTATATTTGCCGATGAACATAATTGGAATAAGAGACTACATAATAAAAATGAAAATAATGAATGAGTGATCATGTAATTAATCGATATATAATATGTAATCGATAAATCAAGCTAATATGTGATTACCAATACTCTTATGCAAAAGATGAAAAGAATCATTGGATTACAGCTGTCTCTATTGCTTATAATCCTCATTACTACTATGCAATCCCTTAGTTTCATTATGATGATCAGTAAGTTTACCTTCACCTATACTCTGAAAACAGATATAAACTTGGAATACTGACAGTCAGTACTTACTCGGTTCCTGAATTCACTAATTGGTTAGTAAACTCGATATTTGTTTGTAAATATGGGGCAGAGGTTAAGTATCCATTTATTTGACAAGATGCAGGATTCATAAAATGCTGTGTACTTGGCAAGGTACTTGGAAATCCAGCATAACCGGAAACCTCGGATGTTCCGTTACTACCGTCGAAACTGATCGATGTGGTCGGAATCGGTGGTAAAGATAAAGGTAGTGGAGGTGGGGGTGTTGGTGGAGGGGGTGGTGGAGCAGGTGGTGGTGGTAGGTTCGCTAAAATTGACGTCGCTGTTCCCAATGATGTTCCATTAGAAAATACCAAACTTTGTCCAACTGTACTTAGAGGACCATTATTGCCTGCATTAGAGTTGTATTGGTGTTGAAATCGCATACCATTAATGGTACCGTTTATTACATTTACTCCAAAAGTTTTACCATTTAAATTGTTAGCATTATAATTTTGATTGATTCTATTCATTTCTTGATTTTGTGTATCGGCTACACTTGGGTTCATTATTGTAATCATAGTTTGTGTAACGTCACCGGGTAACAGCAAGTCTGTGGGAGGTGGAAAAAATTCAAACTGTGTTAACGTATTTCCTCCAAAAAAAATGAATGCAAAATTTTGACTTTTCTTGATAAATACAAATCAGTCGATTTCGACAACTAAAGTGGAGCTGTATAAATTATATTTACAGTAATGGTCTTTTCATGCACACAAAAAGATCTTAACGATTGTATTTCATGACAATATTTTTGTTTTCTTTTTAAAACTGTGTTGTTAAAATCCAGATATGATTGTGTATACATTACATAAGTTGCTTATGTTTTAACAATTGTAATTAAATTGCAAAAATGGCTAGCAAAATTTAGTGAAACTTCACTGGTTCCAGTGTGACCAACAAAATCATAATCAAATCAGAATTCAGATGATAAGTAGCTCCCTAGCTCCTCTCTTTAATCACATACTCTAGTTCTGTTTTGTTTTATCGGTTAACTTTATCCTCTGTTGGCCTAAATAAACTTGTAAATAATAAGCTTTAAAAATGAAATAAGCTAAGGATTTTAAAAAGTTTATGTGAAGTTTTTATTACTGTCTTCTTTAGATTTATTCCACTGGCAAAGAAAAATTTACTAGACCGATATTTGTACCTAGAATATAAAGATTTACAAGCTTTAATAAACATTCTGACTCAAACCGAGTTAACGGTTAGTTCGTAAAAGCAGCGGTAAGTCAAATGTTTGGTTAGATTTTTCTGATATCATAATGTGTAGAAACTTCCCTACGACTATTATTTCACTTATGCTTGTCATATTCCAATTACTTCATGTGTCAGTTGAGAATGACACATCGAAATATTAAGCATTCCTTCCTTTCCATTAAATTATATTCAAAGACCATAAAAAATCTCGCTGAATTTTAGCTGAAGCCAACAAAAGTAAACTTTGATTTCCAATACGTCATACAAATAACTGTCATTATAGAAACTGGTGATGAATGCCAGTAGTATGAGTTATAAATGCTCTTAAAAATAATTTAACATACTAATATTAATATGTAACAATACCGTACTCAGCAATATTAGTAAAATCATATACAACAGTGTTTTCCACAACGTACTTTGTATAAAAATAATGATAGTATCTTTGATAGCTTACCTTGAGATTTTTTATTTATTATTTCTTGTCGACATGAACGCTTGCCTGTTCAAAGAAATGACCGAATCATTAGAATCAGACATAAATTAGAATACAAACTGCTTCTTTTAAAAACAAGCATGCAATATACTTTTAAACCAGCAAAAGAATTTTTAACTAACAAGAACAAAGATTTGAACAGCATCACCTGAATTCATTTTTATTGAGATTCGCATAATTTAACACTATTTTGTTTGTTTTGTTTGCTGCATTACAATTTCTCTCATTTTTAACTGACTGATCTTATCAACATATCTTAACTAATATTACTACTATTACTTCCACTACCACTTCGTTACATAACCATTCAATTCTTTGTGTCAACAAGATAGAGAAAGGTTAAAAAAGAAATTTTCTTATTAAAAACGGCATTGTTTTTCCTTGTGTTATTCCCCTTAGTTTTTAGTTTGTTTTTTTTTCATTTTACTTCTTAACGCATCTCTTTACGCGTTGAGTAAAGGACTATGATGGTTGGCTTAGGTGATTCTGATATTATACTATCAGATGATGATAATACAAACAGCGACAATGAAAAGTCGATCATTTCAGCGACAATTTATGGATAACTGATTATGGTTGGTATGGTCATTAGTATTCATACAATTTGTCGTATGCAACGTAGACGTTATCAGAGTATATTCTAAATTATGTTATAATAATAATAATAGGAAGAAGAATGAAGTTGTTGACAATCATTCATCATCAGCGGAGGCGGCAGTGGCACTACCTCTACCCTCAATAAATGAGAATAGTATGGTTGAACCATGTCAATATGAAAAATTAGTTAGTTGACCAAATCGCGAATTAATCAGTAAAAATTATCATAATGTCATTATCAATGAAAATGATTATTTGCAAAATAACAATATGTCTTCTGTCAGTTTGAATAATTATCCACCTCCATATGGATCTATTACTGGTGATTATTAAAATCCGGTACATCCTATCACTGATTCACCTTTTACTACATCCCATTTCAACCTTAATAATTAATTCCTTGATAGAAAAAATTAAAGATGTTTTGAAATATGACTTCAAATAACTCATAATTTATTTGTACACTAAAATCACCTTTGAGTTGTTCGCTAATAGTTCTCGGTTGTGTTCAGGACTTACATTTCCCTCTTTTATTAATCCAGCATCCCAAAATATTGATATTTTCACTGCTACTACAAACATAATTAGTCTCATATTGATTGGCTGCCATCATATCTCTCTACTTCTTAAGGACTACCCTAAAGATATCGTCATTATTTAGCTGCACACAGAAAAAAAAGCAAACTACTCACTCTGAAGACAAGCAGAATAACGAATTGCTCGAGCAGTAGAAAATTTCAAACTTTTTCGTCTAGTTATTAAAGCCACTATAGCAATTACTGCCAGCAGTACAGCTAAAGATAAAAATAAGCCGACATAAATTGCGATTTCTCGAGTTTTAAACATTTGTGAGCTTGGCATCTTTGATGTAGTGGTCAGTGGTTTCATGTCTGAAAGGTGTATTCCTTTGGGAACAATTTTATTCATAGAGCCTAAAAGAAAGGTAAATTTATGTAGTATACGAAACTGAAACATAGTTCACGAGAAGTAATAAATTATTTTCGTTAGATAAGCGTATTTTTTCGAATCATTATTATGAATTTTCAAATAAATTTATTGGAACTTTAAGAACTAGTAAAAAGTAATTTACTGAATCCACTTTAACTGTTAGGGTGGAATTCACTACCTACAATATACTTTCATTCTGTTTAATTTCTGTTAATTTTGAAGTATTAAGTTTAAAGAAACATTAAGTTGAATTACTTGTTAAGTAAAATGGTTCACTTGTTAGAAACTGACGATTTTATGCCTAATTACATTTTATATTACAATAGATTATTCACAAAAAGCAAAATAAATTACTAGAATGAAAACAGACACTTATACTCTTGAAGTTCAACTAAATGACTATAAAGCATCCTAAAACCTCTCGTGGGTTGTGAATCACTTGAAAAGTACACAAGTTGTGAACAGAAGCACATCACATCATACGTTTACTATTGTCCATTTCTTAGGTATTTAAAAGATATTTTATTATGTGGATTCAATTAAATTAATCAAGTGAAAATCGATCATTCAATGGTCTTTTAGATTCTCATAGGTACAAAATTGAATTGGACAAATAATATTATTCAAGCATGGTGTGGGTTTTATATCGTACTTGCAATTACTTTTGTTTTTTACATGGATTACTCAAGTCGTTTATCTTAATTGCGTGGTTCAAACGAAGTTATTCAGGAAATAAGAAGACAAGCATGTTCACTAAACTTTATATTCAAAAGCTAGCTAAACGGAAATGAATGTCTCCGGTAATTATTTACCGTAGCTTTACTTAAGGCTGTGTCTCCGAGAGATGCACTGAATTTCACTGGTTTTTTTCCGAGTAACGTCTACTGCTATTTCCAAATGCTGTACATACTGGTTTTAAAGGATTAATAAGGTGCTTTGTAAACTTGACAAAATTTCCTAAACCTGTCTTCTTCAATATCACTTACATTATTTATCATGTTATCTTATAATTCTGCTTCACATTATTTATATCTGTAACAAATAAGCCCCAAAAATGTGTAAAAACAATGATCAGCCAGCTTATATAATCTTAAAGTTAGCAGATATATTATATTTTTGACAAAATGTCCTCATATATCTGGTTAAGTCAATTTTATTACAATGTAAGGTCCTTATAATAAATGGCAAAATTATGCATGGAGGAAAGCTCACAAATTCATTTCAAGTGAAGACCACACGAAGCTGCTAACTCTTCTTTTAACCCTTCCTTCTAGTGGCTGACTGGATGACGAAGTCGTCAACATCTCAGGAGAATCACAGAACACATTGGACAGCTGGGATGCAGCTGGACAATCTGAACTTCACAGATGATCTAGCCCGTTTAAACCAAACGCGACAACAAATGCAGGAAAAGATGGTCAGTGTAGTAGAAAGCTCTAAAGCAGCAGGTTTGAATATACTCAACAGAAAAAGTAAGATCTTTGATGCGTAACATGTACCAACAAAACCGCGATCAAGGGAGAAGCTTTAGAAATGTGGAAGCAATTACATACATTGGGCAGAATTATTGATAAACAAGGTAGATCTGATGTCCATGTGAAGACACGGATCAGCAAATCAAGGACAGTATTTATACAATCGCAGAACATACGGAACTCAATACAGCCGTCAGCTAACACCGAAGTCAAAATAAAAATGTCAAGACATCCTTATTATATGGGGTGGAAATTTGGAGAACTGCGAATGACACCATCCGGAAGATACAAGTGTTGATTGGTAGTTGCTTACACATGATACTAGGGACCTGTTGGCCAGATACCGTCAGCAACAATGAACTGGTGGAGAGAACAAAGCGGATTCTATCTGAGGAATAAATTAGGAAAAAGCACCGGAGGTGGATAGGACAGACATTGAGGAAAGCACCCGAGTGTGTCGTAAGACAAGCAATTACTTGGAACCCTGAAGGCGAATGGAAAAGAAGGAGACCGAATTACACATAACACCGAGAATTGGAGACAGACTTCAAAAGAATAAACAGAAATAGGGTAGAAATGGAAAGGAAAGTCCAGGATAGAGTAGGCTAGAGAATGCTGGTCGGCGGTCTATCAGGAGTATGAGGCGTAAGTAATATCCTGATAGTAACTTTATGTTTGGTAATGCATGATGTATTACTAGGTGAATAGGAAAGATATTGCTCAAAGCGTTAGCCAAGGCAGACAGAATTTTACTTACTGACACACTGACTTGCAGAGCAATTCCTTGTCTGGAATAAAGGCAAGGGACACTGATCCATTGCTAGATGATTCATATCAAGTGATTTCAATTCAGTTTTTGAAGTTATATGATTGGCACATAAACGACTACGAGTTTGCTGACAAACTATTCGTGCATTGCTTCCGTCTGTTGTAAGTTTATGACATGCTCCCCACTCACCCCAACTAGTTAAATCACCAGCTAACGGTCGATTCATGACAGAATTATAAGCTGGAAGTAGGAAGTAGAAATCATTGTTTAAGAATTTAGATCGGAGTACAGTATTTTTAAAATTAATTTGTGATTAGAAAAAATATTTAAAAACAGTAGTTTCAGTTTACCAAATAATATAATTTAGCGTGCACTATGATAATAAAAATCTTAATCCTTAGGTATTCAGCACAGATAATCCGACATTAGCCAAAGAGAATTAGTCACATGAAATTATATCTCAGCTGGTTGTTAGACAATGTGATAGAGATTTTTTTTAAACAAATGTAAGCACATGAAAATGTCCTAAATACAATTTACTACATAGGAGTAAAAATATCGAAAATGCTCTCTTGTACCTTTATCATTTAATATGTCAATTTCATTGAAATATTGTTATTTTCAGAACGTTGAAATTAGATGCGTTTCCACTGGGTGAATTTTCGACTAGTAATAACACAGTTACTGTTCACTCTACCAATGTCGATAGTTGTTGAAAATTTCCAGTATTTTGGTGTGTCCAGTTACTGGTTTCATAGAAGACTCCAGATACCTCGTCAAATTTATTCAACTGAACACAATAATCAGTAATGTTTACATTACCAACTGGTTACACACTTCTTGGATAAAAAATACAAACTAACTTATATCTGATATCCTTAATAGCAACTTAATTTAGTCTTAGTTTTTAAGATGAAGAAAAACTGATTAGCTGTTATTTAGCTAAGCATGAATTAGTTGAATCTGTAATTAGAAGCAAAATTTTTTCAAGTTATCAGCCAACTGGATAAATAAACAAGTTATAAATACATTACAGGTTTGTGAAGAGTGTTAAGTTACACATTTTAAATCATGAATCGATCAATATTTGATCACCATTAGAAACCTGAAAGCACTGGACGGCCGTTTCGTCCTGGTATGGGACTCACAATCAGTGCTCATCCACGACACCTGCACGTTGCAGAATCCCAACCCCGGACCTTCGGTATTGTACACGAACGCCTAACCTCTGGAAAAATATAAATAGATTATTTTCCAAGCACTGAAAATGATAGTGGCCAGTATATGTAACTCCAAATAAATTTTCCATCATATTTTTCTCGATATTTTTGCGAAAGTAGTAATTATTTATCTGTGCTTCACTAAAAGTCACTATTTGAATTTTACTGGTGATTCTATATTAAAATATGAGCACATACAACTTGAAATCATATATGTCAATTCAGCAAAGTAATTTACATGGTACAATGAATAGAAGTTAAATACTTTGTTTTCCATGAAATAGTTACATTATCCTATATATCGGAAAAGTAATTGTCTTTCCAAAGGAAAACATTTTCTTGTCATAATTAACATTATTTTGTGCAAAAATAGGTCACTGGAAATTTTTAAAACTGTCCCAAATATAACTAACTTACTTTCCTTTTAATATTAAGCCCATACACTTGAATTTATAAATTAAAAAGGTAAACTTTGTATGAATATTTTATTTGCGCATTCAACTCAAAAGTGACATGATAAGGGTTTGATATTGTTACATATCATGTTGAGAAGCCTCTGTTGTGTTCATCTGGTTGATAAGTAGAAACAAAACTTTACTTCTTTATGGTTAATCAAAAAAAAATATTCATTTGAGTAAAGTGAGCAATATTAAAGTTGTTGTAACAAACATTAAAAACACCGCCAGCTTATTGTTAGTGAGGGTGTCAATTAAAACAAAGAACATTATCATTTGGACTTACGGAAAATATTAACTCGAGCAACTGCACGTCTTTTCTCCCCATTAAGACAGGCTGCTACACATGTATAATTTCCACTGTCTGCAGTGGTTGTATTCTCTATGATCAAATGATTATAGTCATTAATAATAATGTGTGGAAATGATTTAACATCAACACGTTTTCCATCTTTTAACCAATAAACCTAAAATTAAAATGAAGGAAATGAAACCCATGAAGTATACAAAGGACAAAATAAATTTAGCAACTGTTCAACGTTCAGTTTCTAGAGTACATTCCATCAGTCCATTGATCCTTAAATATTAATATTTCTGTGTTCGTACTTCTGGGTTAAAATCAGATTTATCGTTGGTATGGGCTAGGGTGAATAATTCGATTTCGAATTATTTTGATTTTTATCAGTAATAGCAAACTTATCAAACAATGAATAAAATCTCAAGCCTCTTCTCATTAAAAGTAACAGTGACCATTATTTTTAACTAACTAACTTCATTAACAGTTGTCTACACAAAATACTTCGGATTCGTTGGCCAGACATGATCAGCAACAACCTACTGTGAAAGAGAACAAACCAGATTTTAGTGGAAGAGGAAATCAGAAAGAGGCAGTGGAAGTGGATAGGGCACACACTCAGAAAAGCACTCAACTGCCTCACAAGACAAGCCCCCACATAGAAACCCAAGGTGAGAGGATTAGAGGTAGGCCAAGGAACAAAATACTCAGAGAAATTGGGAAAGATTTGAGAGGAATGAACAAAAATTGAACAGAACTGGAAATGGAAGCCTAGGACAGAGTTAGCTGGAGAATACTGGTCGGCGGCCTATGCTCTATTGGGGGAGGAAAGTAAAGGAAGTAAGTAAAATTATTTTTAACTCAGTTTCGTAAGTTTCCTAAAATTAGAATCATGTATTAAATTTATGTTTGACTGGTCAGCTCGGCAGTGTTGTTCGAATGAGATTACCATCGCAAAAAGTTTGCTTGTTATACACAAAAGAAAACAATGATTAGGGTATCTTTGTTTCTATAAATCAGACTGTAATGTTTATGGCATTTACTAACTAAATATTCTGTGAATTAATCCATCGTTGTAAAGTCTGTCACTGTATAACTCATCAAATTATTTTGTTTCAAGGCAGTGCAAACAGTTTGAAGAAAATTTTGTTTACACGCTTTTCTTTTGCATTATCAGCCGGAACATTATTCATACTAATTAGTTTGATAAATTTGTCTAAACTAGTATTCACTTCCATCGACAAGATATTGAAATAATTTTCAGCAGAATCACTGAGGCATACTGTTATCCATTCCTCGGCTTTTTACTGACTTTAATGCTCAATAGGTATTTGTCTAAAATTACATTTTTACAGTTACATTCCCGTTTCCTGAAGTGATTTCTAAATAATAGTGATCTGCTAAAAATGCTGCTTTACTCAGACTTTTTTCGCCCACCGTTCATCGTTACATACCAGCTTACCGTAGGCATTTTCACAAAAACCTCAAAAATGTTTACTGAAGTACAAAGGTGTGAATAAAATCTGTCAGTGTCAAAGTAAAATCATTAAAAACTTGTTTAAATAGACTAACAGACCACCATGAGGGAATGAGTAATCTTTAGATGTTCCAACAGATAAAGTTTTTGAAAAAACTTTTAGATTTTTTACATAACAATCACCCTCGTTGAGTGTAAATACAAATACAAATTTTTTTATAAATAGTTTTATACGATAATGTTTATGAGTTTTAAAACTAATGGTAATCAAATCAAACTAGAATGAATACCTTTCTTAGTTTGGTAAAGGGTTTAATGAACAGAAATTTTGAACTTTACAATAAACCTGCAGATCATGAATTTGTTCTAGAGAATAATGAAAACGATGATTACTGAGGAAAATGCACCCGAGAAACAAAATTTGATTCCACATACTGCTTTACTGAACGTTCCCGATGAATGTGAGCTTTGATCCCATTAAACTTGTGACTGTGTTTCAGACATAATTTAGATAAAAGTTCGGGATGAATCATGTTCATGTGTTAAAAATTTGTTGACGCAGACTTGGAACAAGTAAACAACCAAGTTCAAAAATATAACGAAACAATATGACATTCAATACTGTCAATAATGTAAATTTTTTTAAGGAGTTCTATACAAATTAACTCTCTCCAATGCCATTCATTACGAAAAATCGATATCTGCAATTTCTAGGGATTCATTGACGGCATTAAATATTTCGATTATGATTAGTATAATCAAGGTGGCATTTTAAGTATAACATGTAGGACTTCACATACATTGGAGTCTGTTTACGTTTCATTTGATCAGGCGCTTTTATTAACTTATTTAACAGACAGAGTCATCCGTATAGCAATAACTTATCTGTACTTTTATGCTTTTATTATTGTCGCGTTTGCATGAGCAGGTATGATTGAGCATTGATTACCATCTACACAAAATTTCACTCTACTCGCTTTAATGTAAGTCACTTAAATAATCCGATGACTTATTCATATTCCTGTGTACGTATGTGCAGATTTTGACCATACTCACTCGCTCACTCGCTAGCTCTTCGGCATTCGCATATCGTTTTGGCTTCATGTACCTGTGGTTTTGTGACCTGTGTGTGGTGCGATACTAAACGTAATCAGTGCGTCTTCTGATTTATACACCTTTGGCTGTCATGTAGTAAGGGTCATCAGGACAAGCTGTATACGAAATTTAGAACTATAACGGTTACCGACCGCCAAAGAACTAGTGAGTCTACATCCACCACAAGCATTTTCAAACCATAAAAAATATTTTCACCGGCATAGCAGGTAACATAACCGGTATTATTTGCTCCTTCCCAACAGTCCATTGACATTGATCAAATAGAAATCGAAGTATCATATATATATATATGTATATATATATATATATATATATATATATATATGACTTTAATCGTTTGAAGTAATACATCAATTAAATTAGGTTCATGAAATAAAATAAACCTCTTGATAAAGTTCATACTAGGTGATATACTAAAAAATTAACTAACAGTTTTTTTCAACAGATTAATGATTCGTTTTGTTCGATTTCTAAACTATGCTTCATAAATCCATTAACTAAACTCTCTTGAATGACATCGTTTTGAATATTTTTATGGGTGTTAACCATAATGACTAGTTTTAAAACTCTACTACTTTCCTTGAAAGAGTTTTTCTTTTTTTCTAATATTAACACACTAACTATTAGATATTGTAACAATTTATACAAACAATTTTAATTCTACCTACTACTACTACTACTACTTTGAAAGGAAGTTAAACATTGTATTGCTAGAAAAAAAAATAAGGAAAACTCTTCTAAAATACTTCCCTATACTAATTAGGCTTATTCATATACTAATGGTTGCTATTTTTACACTAGCATTTATGACACTATATCAAACAACAATGCATATACACATAAAGGACCAGTGGTACTGTGAAAGCAATAGTGTTTATTTAGGTGGTTGGTGTATTATACGCTTACAGTGATAATAGGCTTCAAAGTACACCTTAGATCTAAGTATGTTTCTCACTTAGGAGAGCTAATTAGTTATATATATATATATATATATATATATATATATATATATATATATATATATATATATATAAAAGAGGAAAATCAAACATTGTAATTATGGTAGCACAAGTGAATGAATGTTCATACTTTTTGTTACCATTTCATCTCAATTTGAAAAAATACTACTCACTGGAGTGGAAAAAAAAACGATACAATTATTCAATTTTTTATATCATTTCCTTTTATGCCAGAAATATATACACTTAAATAATTTGGTTTTTCTTTAGCCTATAATTTAAAAAAAATGTCAATCAGAATTTTCTAAAACTGTAAATAATTTCAGCAGTGTTTGAGTACTACTATTTTAGCATCAGAAATTAATGAATGCACGTGTATTTGCTACTTATACCAGTAAGTAAAAATAGAACTTCATTTGGTGGTAAGATATTTTGATTCTGCAAATTAAAACTTTACACTTTGCAATTGACAAAAGAAAATAGATAATTCAGTCTGATTCAAACAGCAATATTACTAGTACAATTTGATTTGCGAATAAGACAATGTATATGTCAAAGTGAACAGAAAGGAGATTTCTACTTTGTTAGTGTTGCTAGGCTGTCAGGTGTATCTATGAAAATTACAAAAACCTAAACTACTTTGACTGTCTATCATGATTTAACTGTAGTTTTAGTAAACTGATTCAATTTAGTTGGTTGTCTAGCCGAATAATATACTATGCGATAATATTCACTCTAAGACAAATGCCTTCTAATAGATTAGAATAAATCTTTTTGATAGCGTTTCAGCTAGGTACTGTCAGCTTAAAAATACTTATTTAATCCTCCCAGATCTATATGAAAGCTGTTTGACCGATACGATTTCATGATAACAAATACGTTTGATAGATTTATCAGAATTGACCAACTAATTGATTATAAAAGCTCTATCCATTCATTATTTATCTACGATAGATTTCCGTAGTACTGCTCAAATAAAAGATTTTTTCGATAAAAACATTATCTCCTTCTTATTATCGTCCATTGACACAATAGGTTACTGCATCTTCTAATATTAAAACTGAATTTTTCTTTGGTTCACATTTCTCCGTAATATATAAAATAAACTTAACAAACTCCTATTGTTCATGAAAGTACGTGTTCACACAAACTTGAGCAATGTAGATTTTACTAAGGATCAGTTAGTTGACTAGAATATTTTCTTTATGAACACCTAATTTCCATTTTATTCTAGATAATATTTTAAAAATTATATGAGCGCATTTAAACATTGGTATTCTGCCCTGCGGGGCAATTGAACCTCAAATACGTCATTATGACTTTCATTAATGTTAGGCAGCAAGTTTTCAGGTCCCATAATACATAGTTTTAAGCTTAGTTTATTCGGCTTAAAAATAATTACTTAGATTTTCATTTCACCGAACCCAAACATATGTGAGTTAGTTTCCTTTCAAAACTTTCAAATGGTTGTAGAAACTGTGATTTTACATTTGCACTGTAGATAGCACTGATTCACACGACATACCAATTAAAAAGAATTTATTATGTAAATCAGGAAAGAGTTGTGTTCTTTTAGGTTTCAACCGTATCTTTTTAGTCATCGGATAGTTAAGTTTTATGTGCGTTCAATGAGAATTTCTATCGTCGAAAGTCATATTGTAAATACAAGACTGAGAGAGAGATTTGAGTTAAACATTCTTTACAATTAAACTAAAGCAGAATTTAAGGGCATGTCCAACTTTTCTAGCATTCGTTTTTGATACATTCAGTGTACATATGATATCATTTTATGCATTACGTTTCAAAATTCGTTCTGTTTTTTTTTTAAAAAAATACGTGCATGAATGCTTTCTCTAATATTTCATGTGCCTAACTGATAAACTTCTCAATCTTTTTTTAATAGTTAAAAGATACCCCATCTGCTCATATATTAGTCACTCCTCTTGTGAATTCGCTTAATCATGCTTTACCGTTTGTTTATTTGTTTTATTTGTTAATTGAGTTGGTTATTTACCCGGAAAATCAAACTTTTGCAGTAGCAGCAGCATCATCATCAGCATCAATCCGATGTTTGGTAATTTTTATAATTAACTAGATAACATTAAAGTGAACAACATTTATACTTCTGTAATTTTGAGACATTTATCTTCAAGCTAATCTGAACAACAACAACAACATAAACCCGTCTAATTCATTACAATTCATCATACCGCACCACAGGTTCAGTGAGCACCACCACTCCATCATATATATATATATATATATATATATATATATATATATATATTTTCCCAGTCAATAAATAATGAAGATGGCAGAGTTTAAGTATATTATGCCTTATGTCCTCTTTATTACCACCAGTCCACTTGTTTACTTCTAGACAGATGTATTAAAGATAACTAATCGAGGTCACGTTATCTTTTAATATTGGAATAATAGGAAATGTGAACAATTAGAAAAAAAACGCCAATCCTAAATTCAATTAAGTGTGTAGTATAAATCTTGATTAGACTTAAAATTTCATTAAATAAAACGAAAACTAATAAATCAAAACAACTTAAAATCGTTCCATTGGTTTACCCTCCTTGATATAATCTATAATACATTGTTTCTTTTAAACAATATTGTCACTCAGTGAAAATAATTCTCATTTAACATAGTTTATAGTTGTTTATTCTACGAAAACAAACAACAGTTCCGTCAAAAAATGTTTCAGCAGTCTTAACCTATTTAGTTGCAAAGTATATTGTTCAACAGAGTAATTGATTATGTTTATAAGTAAACGCAACTGTGCTACGTTCGCATGATGGTTTATAGATTACGGTTATTAATGATAACTAAGAAACTAATTAAACTAATATTTTAGTGGTGAATACTTAATATTTTGTGTCTAATCCTTCAAAATTATTTTTTATAACTTGGGATATACCAATGAAAGTAGGTTACATTTAATCGGTTTTGATTCTAACGTAATATGACATCTTGGCGTATATTTTATAATCGATAGTGCGGACTTTAAAATGCTTTTTTAATGCTTTTTACTTTCGGAACTTGGCTGGAAGAAGTGGGATGACGATTGTTAACCGGAACATTGAATGAAAACCACGAAGCTTTTAGAAGTCCATTTAAACGAAAATAATTAACTGACTTTCTTTATGAAGAGTCGATCAAAAATGATGATATTGAGATCCACTGAAGGTACAATAATAATTGTTTCATCTTTAAAAAAAATGTGGACAGCTCACAAAACCTCTTGATCGAACAACTAACAGTAAACTGAAAAGGTTTTGTGTTAAATAAAATCTTATCAGAACCATTCAACAACACAATTGTATTTCGATGCGCTAAACTGAAGCAGTTACAAGAAAAATATTAACGGAATTATGTTACATGAACGATATTGTTTCGACAGTTTTGAATAAATAGATTATTTACTTAGATCTCTTGCAGACAGTTCAAGTAAACAGAAGAAAATTGAACCAATTAGCACCAATACACAACATTACTAGATGAGTGATAAGTGTTGCAATTAGTACTAGTAACTTATTCCGACACTATGTATCTCTCCAAAAGGCAATGATGAACACATAACTTATTATGTTATGTCATTTACACACGTAGACTAGTGTATTGTACACATTATTAATGGATAAATAATTTTCAGATTTAGTGATTTTGAATATTATGTTGACGGTTTCATTTATCAGATTGAATTTTAAAATTCGACGAAGGTGCACAAACTCATCATACTAGACAGTAATATCAAGTTTCCTAGTTATTGTTTTCCGATAACTTCACCTAGTAGTAAAAATCTAATTGTCTTTTTAATAAAATTAACTAATATCTTTGGTGAAATTTATAGTTTCCTCTCTTTATGTAACCAAGGTAAATTACTTGGTCATTGTACCTCTGATAAATGTTTTTCTACACTACTACACTATGTATTGCACATGTTATAGAAGTATTACGTTTATAATAATATGGTTCGTCTATTAAAAGTGATGTCCCCATGTGGCTTTTTCAGTTTGAAAGCTTCAGTACCTAAATAAGTGTGTTTGTTTAACATTTTCATTGTGTTCTTTTTTTCTCATTAAAATACATTCAAAATGAGGACAAATTACTGTAAGTGTAATAAGTCAATAATTTTTTGGAAAAAATAACATTAGAAATTATGCTAACTAACATGTGACTAGATGTTATCATAATAAACACCTACAGTAAATTCACTAGGAATTTTACTGCCAAATCATTCAATTTATAGATGGTAATAAATTGTACAAATAAGTAGGAAAATCTAACTAAATCTAATTGGCTTCAAATATTAGCATCATCAATGTTTTTAATCCACTTGTTTGAAGACTTGAAATAAAATAAAAGTTGATTTACTTGATTTCATATTTCAAACAGTTTTTAAGATAAACACCGACAGTATTAACGTGAATTTCAGCAAACTGTCAGTACCGAGTACTTTTTTAAATTTCCCAGTTGAAATTTCTAGACTGTTAGACAACTAAGTAATGGAGTTACTGATTTCATTTAAATTTATTTACAAAATTCCTGATCATATACTAAAAGATATGTGAAAAGTTTTTGTAAAATATAATTCCAACACGACATTTTATGACTGATTTAACTTTTTAGTACTACATTATAGTTTGATCCTACTTTTTTCCAGGTTCTTCCAAAACCCAATTTACTGGATCATTGCATTTCTCCATGTGCACGGCTGATGCTTCATATTTTTCAAAATCCTCAAGGAATCAAAATTGTTAAGACTATTCAAAGCTCAGTTGTTCTTTAAATATGTACTAACACGTAAGATATTTTGGTACAATTAATATTCATGTTACATTTGAGAGGTGTATGATAAGTTAGAATAAAAAATGAAATAACTTACTTCAGGATCAGGATCTCCTTCAGGTGGTAGGCATGTTAGCACAAGACGTTTACTGACAGCCAAATCTGTAGAAATTGGTTCTAGTTGAAACTTTTCGTCCAAGTCTAAGTAGACGGAAAAAAAAGATATCCCCTTATGATGATAAATTTTCATGTGAAAATGGTAGAGCTAAGAATTACTAATGACCAGTTAAAAATTTCAGGCATATGGCTTTCGATGACAAATGGATGGCTTTAAAAAAAGTATTCACACAATGTTTGCTACTGAGTTTGTAAGAAAGCCTTGTTTAACGAACTCGGTAAGCATCTTTTATAAATATAAATACAACTAAGTACTTGCCACGGTAACATAAGATTTGATCAAAGAATCACAAATAGGATAAAAGTATGCCGAAATTGCCTTATGCTAATCTGTGATTGTTAGGCCTTTTAAATAAATTTCAACTATGAAGCAACAATTATCCATCCCTGCTGAGAAGCTTTATATTATGTAGCTAAATGCTCTTTGAAAAGTTTGAGCTACAACTTAGTCTTTTTTATGAAGTGCATCTATATCAAGGATAATACCTCCGGGTAGGAATGTATGAGGGCATGAAAAATATGCTGTAATTGTGTAACTATCAAGTTGTTTTTCCAACTAAATCGAAACTTCTGACTTTAATTATGATTGAAAACAACTAACGCTATTACGAATTACAGTTGGATAAGCAAAATCAAGTTTTACTTAATAAATTATGTATGAATTTAACCGTTTAAATTTAAATTGATTCATCATTCAGTGAACGCAATAAATAAAATATATGAAATCAATATACTGATGGAGTCGAAATCTTAGATAGTAAAAACAACGTTTTGATCTGAAAATTTATTTCAAATAAAATATAAACAACCTATGGATTAGTATAGTGTGATGAATAATAATGATAATAATAATAATAGTAATAATAAAGTCAAATTATTACCAACTACACACTATGAACAGGTTTATAATGCTGAAAACTGTTTCAAACATTGTGATATTTCATGGTAGACTTTTAATGATTAAACTCTCTTAGTCTATCAGCGTTGAATTTTATATTTTGATTGATTTATTTTATTATTTGAAAAAAAACTATATGACACGATGACAAAACACCTGACTGGTTTCGGATCTCACTTTTAAACCAGAATACATCCGACTGATAAGTCCCAATCAATGGGGAATATATCTGGATGGTTCTTCTAGCTACGATCCGTCCATCTTTAATATTGTTTAATAGTTTACTGAATAAATTTACCATTATATGCACCTAAGGATGCTACAATAATCAGTTCTAACGAAAGTGAAGTGGTATGAAACGACTATTGAAAGTCTGATAACATGAGTGTCAGAAGTAGTGAAATTTTTCTTCATTAGATACAGTCTCTAATTATTAACACAACTGTTCAGAAAACTCTTTCATCAGATGTTTATTTTTCAGATCTTCTTGATTAATGCAAAACATAAAATCACAAATCCAGATTAACTATCGTTGTCAAGAATCATCCTACTGAAGTTTTTTCATCTTAGCTAGCAAAAAATAATGATGTCTATACACTAACTAACAAACAATACTGTCAATGTAACAATAGGTGGTGGATTTAAAATTTTATGTCAATAAAACAACCAGGCACACATTCCACTTACATTTGATTTAGTTAAATTTCACTGTGAGTATTAAACTAATTTTCAACTAAAAACTTTCATCCAGTTGAATAATCAAACGGCATTAAATAATTCTTTATAATTTACAATATTTTAAAGAATTTCATACCCATAAATGTTTTCCTTAAAAAGAAATATATCATCTTTTATACTTGAGATGGATTATGTTAGTACTATGAAATTTTGTAAGATGATTTTACTAGCTGATAAGTTGCTTTTAAATCATTCATCAAACACTCGTTGTTGTTGTTCTTATCAGATAAAGTAGGAACATGAATCGCACTGAGTCAATTAGTCAAACTATACATGTTATGAATGCAATAAGTTTATTTTAAAAAAGCCATGAATAAAATGGCGTTGAAATAGGGGAACATGGAACTGTTACTGTTAACATTAGAATGAGTCATATGATTTCGCCAAGAAGATATATATATATATATATATATATATATATATATATATATATATATTGTACAGCACTATAAAATGCATGACATAATCAGATTAACATACAGACAGAATGTTCGTTCTCAATCAAATCATTGTATAATTCTTTTCAGATGTGTGTTTACACAACAAGTGTGATTTTTAACAGACGTGTTATAAAAATTAAAAAAAAAAAAGAAATCCATTCGAAACATCAAAATACACTGCATTGCTAAATCTATATGGAATATTTTAAAATAATCATAAATTAAGAACATGCTTTGCTAAGTTAAATTGACCTTTCTGAAGTTTCACCCTACATTGATAAATATGCACCATTTAAATAAAGGAAAAAAGTTTTAATTGAAGCCTATGAACGTATAATGCGATTTTCACGGATTGATTGTGGTCTTCATGGAATTCTACCAAAATCACATCTATTCTTTCTGAGAAGAGAATATAAACACATAAATAAATTTAAGTTATTCAACCAGAATTGAACTGATGACTGTTTAAAATTCCACGTTGAAAAGCCACCGAACAGTTATTGATCGTAGAACAGTTAAAAATGATCTGTAGTAGAATGAAATTAATTACCATAGAACCGCTAGGAAGTCGGAAACGAAAGTACTCTGACGTGAGTACAGCTCGTTTTCATGACAAAAAGGAACCGAACTGGTGATTTTCCATAAGTTTTTGTAAAAACACTCTGACAAATAGTTTTTGTATATTCACCTGTTTTGGTTTACAGTTATCAATTCAACAAAACAACCTATCATTCAGCAAACGTTACGCTTTACACCAATTCAACAATTCTCATTAATCATCTTCTCATATTGTCATGATGTCTTTCTTCGTCATCTTGCTCTCGTATGATATAATATCTTTCTGATTAGAGGTTTTGTTTTTGTCAAACGGTAATCTAGCAGCTTGTGTTATTCATGTGTATAGAAAATAGAGATTCAGTCAACAACAAAAAAAAGAAACAAACTTGAAGAGCTCTGAGATATATTTTATTACGAAATGGTAAACAGAAAATTCAGAGGTATGAATGCTGTGAAACGAATTGAAGCTGAACGTTTGAATCATGGCATTCATATTATTTTAGTTTGAAATTTCAAAACGATTAGCTAATGGTATTTACCATTGTCACTGGTAATGTTGAAATTAGGACTAGTGTACTTGTTTTTTTTTACAAAACTCATTTAAAATGCATTAAATTTAACACAAAGCATCCTAATTTCAAAAAAATGCAATGAATTAGAATGGAGAAAAAAAATAGAAAGAAAGAAATCAATTATCCGCTAATGACTCATTGATATGTATATGACAGGAGTGATTTTTAAGGTTAACTAAAAAAAGTCAAAACTTGTGTAGTGTACACGCACACACACTATTTAAAAATCCAATTTAAATTTATTGTTTCCTTCTCATTTTTTGTCAATGAAATTTCTTGTCTAATCTATGCACTGATGTGTTTGTGTCAATAAAACTTACTTACTTGTTGAGGTATAATGCACTTGTTTACTAGAAACCACAATAAAAAGAAATAAATTAATATATTTGTTTTTTTAAAAAAAAATACTACAACAACATTGAAGTTTTGCATTGAATACACACAATTTAAAAAATGATAATATTTAGATGAGACGATAATGTGAACGACACCAAGGTCATGGTTTACATCTTTTACTTCGGGTGGAAATTGACGAATAAATTTTAAAATTCAAAAATTACTATTGTTTTATTTTTATTGGTGCATTATTCCAGATCATGTTTGTTAGATCATCTCCATTCATTTCTTCTTCTTCTTCTGTTTTTATTGACAATATTTTGTATCAGCAAGTGATAATTCCACTGTGTAATTGAATCACTACTTGACCGTGAACATGTTGAAGCAAGTAAACTAGACAAACATTTCAAAATCTTCGCTAATAATTCAGACCACACATTCAATGCATCATCTCTGACGTTTCTCAGCTTTTGTCAACTATATGTGTTTGACAAATAACTTCACAGAGTTAAAATTATCTCATTTTCTAACAATCATAATTCTAAATAAAATAAGTGGGTAGGCATATGAGTAGTGACTGATGACAAAACTGATCGGTATTTTTTTCATTAGAATCAGTCAAACTTATTGAATTTCAAAGGTTTATGTATGCCCTGCCGATAACCTGCATTTCCCTTTTTCATACAACGTGGTAAGTAATTCATGTGTATTCCTTTTTAATATCTAATGAATTCGGATAGTATTTTTGAAAATTAATTACAAATGGTTTGAAGTTTTTCAGGGAACAGTAGGTGAACTAATATTTATTTCTACTGCCATCAAGTTCTGACTATAGAAAACTGGTGCCGTTAAATCGACCACAATGCATGAATTAATAACCGAGTCTAAAAATTGGCTGATTTTTCCTTTCACTGTTCAATTTTTTTATACAGCTCATAGAATCAGCTGAAGATTGGTTATCGCATTCCAGATGTCACTCATTTTTACGGGGTAAGAGTTATTATCAAAAATATGAAGACACTGAGGAGAATGAGAAACTGTGTTTTAGAATTCATTCTCACGACTGTAAATACATCCGGCCACATTTTTCAGTTTGAAAGAAAAACTTGCGACAGATTATTTATGTTTAACTTTTTGGCACAATTTTATTTTATACTCATCACATATAATTTTCCGTCTTTTTTTCAAGCTGGTAAGGCACTCTTAATCAGATCAAAATTCATTCATAAGTGATGCTTGTTGAGTGTGAAATTATACCTTCATATTTATATGAGCTGTCATATAAAATTAATTATCTATGACGGCTGTAATAACTTCATAAAGTTCCATTATCATACTCACTCTATGAGCTAAATAAATATGCTTGCCATTTAGATAAAAAAAAGTTTTATAAGTGTAAAATTCTTTAGTTTGTACTAAGTTCATTCATTTTGAAAATAATTACGTTTATGATTTAGTTGAGTTTGTATGACAAGAATCACT